TAAGGGTTTAATTAAGTACTCGGTATTAATTATTTAGAAACCTTTTCTACCACCTGCAGACCCGAAAGCTATAGACTAGCTTTTATACTACGCGTATCCCTAGGCTAGAAGTTTAGACGGTTCGACGTTAAGAACGCGTTCGTTCACGCCGATATAGATACCGAGATGTATACTATATAACCCATAGGCGTCGAGGAAAAAGAAGGCACTAGTAATAATAATAATCCTAATAATAATAAATTAGATTATAAACTAAATAAAGCTTTATACGGTTTAAAACAAAGCCCCCGGCTTTAGTATAACTTCCTTATAAAAATACTTAGCGAAATCGGCTATAGAGTCTCTGACTTCGATAATAGTATATTCACTTTTTATAAGAATAAAACAGACCGTGTTATACTACTATGCCACGTAGACGATATAGTAATACTACGCCCTTCTAATACAACGATATAGTATTTATTTACTAAAATATCGAAGAATATTTCACTTACAGAACGAGGTAAGCTTTACTCGTTTTTAGACCACGAAATTACTATAAACAGGTTAAATATAATCCTTTCTATCAATCAGTTACCTTATACCAATAAAATCCTCGATAAGTATAATAAATAGGGCCTTAAACGGGTTAATACCCCTTATATAAATAAAAAGGTCCTCGTACCAAATCAAGAACAGGCTTTAAAAGCCGATATTAAGGTATACTAACAGGAAATCGGTGCTGTATTAGATTTAGCACTACACTTAAGACTAGATAGAACCTACGCTGTTAATAAGTGCGCTCGATATATAAGTAATCCGGTAAAACATCACCCTATAGCTTTAAATCGAATCTGGGCTTATATAAATACTTTTCTTAATATCGGCCTTTTACATAACTATTCATATAAAGAAGACCTTAATATATCCGGTTATTCTGACGCTAGTTTTTCAGATATAATCAAAGACAGGACTTCTACGTCAGGCTATATCTACTGTATAGGTGTAAATAATCTAATAAGCTGGGCTTCAACTAAGCAAAAATTCGTTGCTTTATTAAGACTAGAATCAGAATATATAGCTTTAACCGAAGCTTCTAAAGAAGGAATCCATATATATAATATATATATAGACCTAGTAGATAACCTTAGGGTATTTACTGATTTAAACGTCGGTTTATATAATAATAATAATAATACTAATATACCGATTCCTACTAGATTAATAGACAGCGAAAGCGCAAAGAAGATTTGCGAAAATCCTGAATTTAATAAACGTGTAAAGCATATAGACCGTTAGTATCACTACTGCAGACAATAGGTTTAAAATAATATAGTAAAGGTCGTTTATATAAATACTAAATTTAATATAGCCGATATACTAACTAAAGGTCTACCTAAAGACTTATATAATACACTATGCGGTTATATGAATTTAGGCTATAAAGATGATACGTTGCCTGACTACGATGTACTACCTTATACCCGAGTTAAAGAATTAAAATACTAAGGTCTATAACTAGGTTGTTTATCTTCGGATTTTCCTAGATATAAATACTTAGGTTTTTTTACCTATAGGCTTTCCCAAGATAATATAACTAGGTTTTTCACCTACGGACTTTCCTAGTATTATCAAAAGGGTTTTCCAATTTTCCCCTTATAAAGAATCAAGGGTTTTTAAATTTTTCGCTTAGAGGTTTTATTTTAACTTTCCTCTTATAATTAGTCCTAGTTAGTTAACTAGAGTTTCTGCGCTATAACTATATAATATATATACTCGTTTTAACCTACTCCTTCTTATATAAGAACCAGCTTACGGGGGGGGGTGTTGATATTAATATTATTACTAATAATATCCTTAATATCCTTCGAGTATATCCTTCGTACTCGAATAAAGGATATCTTCCCCGTAAGCCTAGACCGTTCTCTTTCTAGTCAGTTTATCTGATACCAGTCAAACAAAGGATTACGATATTATCACTGTATCGATCTCAGACAAAGGATTACGGTATTATTACGATATCGATCTCTTTACAAAGAAAAGAAAGAATAAAGGATATCAACCCGTTCCCTCGGTTCGGTTCTTCCTTTCTTTATTCCTTATCTGAATCGCTTTTTCAATCCGAGGAGTACATATAATACGCGCGCAGAGATCCTACCTTACAATCCTATTATTACCTTGTTAATTTTCCACTGCTTTTCGTGACTTCCGTCCCTTCCGCTTGTCCAATATCTTCAAAGATCTTCAAAAAGAACTACTGCCCTATTTAGGGACCTCGACTAACGTTAAAAGCTATTAACGGAAGATAGGATCTATACTATACGTAGTAGTAATATCGCGGCTAGACATCGCTTTTATAGTATTATGGCTATACCGCTATAACGTTAATCCAGGTCCTATATACTATAAGGCCGCCGATTATCTAAGTCTTTATCTAATTAATAGCTAATCGTTTATATTAGAATTAAAGGGTCGTAATACTATTAAAATCTACACTAACGCCTTATTTACCGATAATACCCTTAATCGTAAAAGTACTTAAGTGTATATAATACGTTTATTTAGCGGTATAATCGCGTAGCGCGCTAATAAGTAGGATATAGTCACGATATTAATAATGGAAACAGAGCTATTAGCGTTAGTATAAGGTGTAAAAGAGGGTATCTTTATATAACGCCTATTACTTATTATAGGAGTGGATTTTAATAATCCTGAATTAAGGATCCTGTACGATAATAACTCAACGATTCGGTTAGTTAATTAAGATATTAGCATGTTAATAACACGCCTTCGCTATATCGATATCCACGGCCACTAGTTACGTTAAGTAAAGGAATAAGGGTAAATACTTATAATATACGTTATAAGCGCGGAAATAGTTGTAGACGGATAAATAAAGGCGTTATACGGCCAGAATTTAAGATTTTTAGGTCCTAGGTGGGAGTAATAGATATACGGGAACGACTATAGTAAAAATAGCTGGAGGAAGTCCGGATAGAGTATTTAGAGGACCTGGAGGATGAATTTAAGGGCGGCTATAGCGAAGAGATTATATAGGTTATATACCTATTATATCTGCCGGTTACGAATAGCTTTAATTGCCTAACTAATATTTAGGGTAATTAGGGCGTATATCGAATAGACTATAGTCTTTTCGGTTACGTAACAGGCCGGATTACTCAGAGTATAATCCGGGTAGACGCTTATAGAATCTACACTATATAAAATATAGTAGTAGCGATTCCCTAACAGTCCTTATATAGTTATAATTATACATGATTGCCTTAATTAATCTTGACCTAATTTATGACGATTTCGACTACGCTTTATCTGACATTTATCACACCTCAATAAGTTAGCTATGGGCATCTAACACCTACGTACGGGTCGCTCTTTGTGCTCTAGTTATCTGTCTTCGTTCCCTCTCCTAGGAATGGAAGAAACGCGATCTACATGTAACCATACCACATAGATCCAGGGATCCAGACATCCGTTGATCTGTCTATGCAACGGTCCTGGGCGAATCGGCAGCAGGAAGCTGTGCTGCCCCTCAGCACAGCCAGGACATCCGAGTTCTCACAGATACCCCTATCAGTACGCATATCGCGTCAACCTCGACATAAGGTAATATTCCTGTCTGTACGTCAGGTTGTAAGTGAATCAAGACAGACGATAAAACGTGCCCGAATGAAATGAAATACTGATATGCCGCCAGCTCCCTGTTGATCCGGCATGCCGTCCGTGATCTATGTCCCCAGTCTCTCATGATTATACTCATACCCATGGGGGAGCAAGATGCCCCATGCATGAGCAACAGGTAACGTGTGCAAGGTAGCACGCACCGGTACCGAGTGTCAGCCAATCCGCAGGGCAGGGCAAACAGCCGGACCAACGAGTGCTCAAACTCAAACAAGCACTCATTCTAATTAGTGGCCAAACACCTTGCTCGCTCTTATTTTCCTTTCGTCTTCAACTTGGGAGAGGGCAAAACGCTCATGGCGATCGTTACTTCTGCGAGAAAAACCAGCTACTCCGCTTGTTACCGCCGCCTTCGTTTTGTTGGATGTTGCTAATTGTGGGAATACTCGGCCCCAAAGTGTCGACACCGTTATTTCCGCCACCTCCGCGAAGTGGCTTGGCGATGCGAGTGCCGGCGCTCGAGAGGCTGAAATTGCCAAGCGTGGGCGAGGTAAGACCACGAGTGCTCCCGGTCTTGACTGCCTCGAGCTTTTCCTTGACCGCGGCAAGTTGTACTTCGAATCTGCAAGAAGTCCATTTGTCAGAAGACGATGCAAACAAAGCTCTGTTCGGCTACATCTGCACCGGGGTGACGACAGTGGGGAAGACACGGATGCCAGGCTTTCATCGAGGTCAAGAGAAAGGAAGGGTACAGGCCCCCAAAGCAACATGTAAGGGGTGCAGGGAACGTACTTATGGTTCGTAGATGCAAGCTTCTCCTGGCTTTCTTGCAACAAGCTTTCCAGGCTCTGAATCCGCTCGTTGCGGGCAATGAGTTTTCGCTCTGCAATCGCGACCTCCTTCTTGAGGGCCGAATTTTGCTCGACGAGGTGACGCTGCACTTGGGTAAGCTGTTCGAGATTCCGCTCGAGAAATGCCATCTTCTTCTGCTGGGCCCGATTATTCGAGGACCGAAGGACGTTGTTGTACTGCTCTCTGGTTTCGTCGAGAGAGATCTCAAGTTCCACCACGCGTTCGCAGCGATTCTGCAGATCTCGCATTAAACTCTTCTTCATGATATCGAACTCGGCAATTTGTTGCTGAATGGTCTTGCCGTTGGGCATGGACGACGCAGTGCCAGACTTGACCCTTTGCTGAAGATCTCCCACCAAAGTCTTCAGCCTGGTATTTTCCGCGGTCTTCTGAGCCACGTCGGCCTTCAGGGGCTCGATATCTTCGAGCGATGCTGTCTGCTTATTGGCGAGGACATTCTCCAATCGCGCTCTGATATCCTCGACATCCGCCTCCTCAAGATTCCGAGTCAATAGTTCTTCGTACTCCCTCTGCACAGCCGCCAGTCTCTCCTCCGCATCCATCCGACGTCGGGATTCCACCTCGCTCGACGAGGAGCTGTACACTGACAGCTCAGCTTGACGTACAATATCCTGGATCTGCTGCAAAGTCGTTATGAGTGTTTGGAATTCGCCAGGCGAAACAGGGTCGCCACCAGCAGCCCGTTCGCTGAGCGTCTCCAAGTGGGCCATGGCGTCTGAAATGACCTTCTCACTGTTATTGAAAGTGTCGGCACCGAGATCGAAACCAGCCATCATCTTGGCCATCTTCTCCGCCTTCTTCCTCTCCTTTTCGTCCAACAGAGCGCTATTCTCTTTGGCGCTTATCTTGGCGTCCAACAAATGCTGTTTGAGCTCGTCTAGCTCGGCGGTCAACTCCGAGTTCTGCTCCTTTAGGGCGTCGATGGTGATCTGGGCCTCTTTGCTCTCGAAATTCAGGCGCTCCATTTGCATCTTGACCTCGTTGAACTCAGTCGCCAGTCTCTCGTTCTCCTTGTTCGTCTTGCTGTCATGCTCCTTCAGAAAGGCCAGTTCTTTCTTGGCTTCCTGGAGAGCTTTCTCGGCTGCAGCATATTGGGTCTCCTTTTCCGCAAGCTGGTCTTGAAGTTCATTCTCTCTGCGAAGGAAGTCATCGCGTTCGTCTTTATCGAGTGGTAAACTTGGTGTCCCCGCGCGATCAGAGATGACAGGCGTCTCCGCCCTGGTCTCAGGCACAAGCCTGGAAGGCGTGGACGGACGAGGCACTTTCGCGTCCGCTCGTGATCCACCGACATTCTCAACGGATAGGGGGGGCACCCATTTGTCTTTTGGTACCGACTCCCCCGCACGCCACAGTTGAACCTCCCCTTCCAAGCTCGTAATGTAACTTTCGAAGTTCGTGAGCTGTCCTCTAGCCTTGCTGAGGAGAGACTTAAGCTCAGCGGGACTCAGCTCCGCATTGACCTTTGCCTTGTTCTTGATGGCCTTCGCTCTGGTTCCGAACCGCAACGTGCTCAATGTTTCCGAGTCGTTATAGCTACTCGGAGAGCAGTTGATGATGAGAGTTGTGCGGCTGTTACCACCCAAAGACTCTTGGAGAATCCGGGTCAGTTTCGAGTCCCGGTAAGGAACGTGAGAGGACCTTCCATCCGTAAGTGCATTAATGACCATCCCAAGGGCACTCAAGCTCTTGTTGATCTTCTTGGCCTCCTCAAGCGTCTGACCGCTTGCGCCAGTTTTGCCGACTTTTTCGCTGCCAGCAAGGTCCACGAGGAAGAGCTGGCCGCTTTTCGCTGACCCTGTCTCCACATTCTTCTGCGTGACGGTAATAACAAAAATAGAGTGCGACCGGGAGGACTCCTGGTTCATATTTGTGGCGGCGACAGCACGCGCGTTGCCGCCCCTCCGCATGACTTCGAACACCTCCTGGACGCTCGAAACGTATATCTCCAGCAGGCCCTTGACATAGACGCCCCTGTTCTTTTCCTCGTGTACGGGAAGGTTGTCATTCTGGGGGGCGAGGAGATCGCGGATCTTCTCCATGTAAATTTCCATATAGCTGACTCGTACAGTATATTCCATGGTGCCGGGGCTGGACATGATGCTGGCGAAGATCTGCTCGACAATTCGGGGAATGACGCCCCTCCCCTCATCGTCGTCGATGCTGGAGCCCATCATGGTGTACGATTTGCCGGCACCTGTCTGGCCGTAGGCAAAGACGGTCCCATTGTAGCCATTAAGAATGTCGTCGACAGTGGATCTGATGGAGAAATCGAAGATGTCGGACTGTTTACATGTCATATCAAACACACGATCGAACGTGAAGGTGCTCTGAGCATCCTTGGACTGAAATATTTGCACGTTAGAAGATGGGGAACGAGTAGTGAGCAACGCGACAAACAACATACGTCTATGGTACAGGTATCCTCACCGTCGAACGCGACAATGGGCTGACCGCCTGATTCCAGCTCGACCTTGTTCTGGGGCCGGAACCGGGCCACAACCTTGATACTGTTGGCGCTAGACATGGTAACAATAGGCAACGAAGAGACCAAATGAAATGAGAAAGAGACTCCTACACAGGAGTGCAGTCCTGGAAGCCAGTGCTGGGCAGTTTGGATGCTACTCGTCCAGGGCCTGGTTGCTGTGACGGGCGAGCAGGAAGATGATGGGGATGAGGTAATAGAAGCCAGCTATTGTGGTATGCTCACGAGTCGAAGGGAGGTCGGGAAGAAAGGTGCATATCGCTGATCTGTTGCGTAGGAAACTGGAAATCCCCCTGGTGCCAATAGGCACAGCAACGTATATTTTGCGGTGCCGGCGACAGCAGTTGGGCTCCGGGTTCCGTTGGAGCGAATTATATGCAGAAAGCAAATTTGAAAAACAGAAAATTATTCCGGTCCTTCCATTCACAATGCAGCAAGCAAGCCTGGAAATGTCATCAGTTGCGTCGCCCAGGATCCGCCAGATTGCAAAGAGGTACTGTTAACACGACGAGGCGGGGATGGAACCCCTAATTTGTTGGATTATTTGATATGATTAGTTTACTCATCGTCCACCGCCTATCTTTAACCTGTGCAAGGTACAGCAACGTAGCATTAAGGGTTATGTTGCGTGGAGGCCATACTCCGACGAAGAGATATATTAAGGACGTTATCTAGTGTAAATATATAAACACGTTATATATAGAGAGCCGTTATTCCGACTGGAGTTCGATTATAGACCTATAAATTTCATTTTTCGGAATCCTATCTTCTATATATAACTACGTATAGTCGGTTATAACAATTATAAATAACTACAATATTGGTTTTAAGGTTTTTATATAGGAACTAATTTAACCTCTTTAGTTAATAAAAGGCAGTAATAGGGAAAATCTTAATAGCTCGGATTAAGACCCGTTATTCTATTTTCTAGTTAAATCCTACTAATTAAGGTTATATTTGTTAGTATTATTACTACGCTTATCGTATATTAAAATAGCACTTGTATAGTAAACCTAATAGAGCAGAAATCTCGTGTATATATAAAATACAGTGCCTTTAAAGCGAGCTTCGAAGGGAACTGCTAAGCAGAGGGAGGGAAACTATCGTATAGGCAGGACCACGACGTAGTCTATAGGGGATCCAGGGGGGATCCACTCCCTGACTAAGGGCTTCGGACCTCGGGTATTAGGATATAACAGGGGCGGATACCGGAAAAGACCGGATAGGATCTAAATAATATAGTACCTATAATAAAGTCTTCACTACCTCAATTAAGGGTATAAGAGACTTATATAGATATAACTTAATATAATATATATATATAAGATTTCTACTCTACTAAGTTAATTATCTAAGTGCCTTTTAAGATACGCTAGTTATAAGCCCGGTTTATAACGCCTAAATAATAGATATTAATAAGGCTACCCTTATTCCACTATAAAGAAGTAATTATATTTATATAAGTACTTTAAAATAACTACTATTAACCTAATTAGAGTAATTAAGAGATTAATTAACCTACTTATTAATTAACTAACCGATAAACTAATAAAGATATCTTTTAACGTATCTAATACTAAATAGAAGGCCGCCGCTATTACCCTTAGTAACTAAAAGGATTAGGTGGTATAGGAGCACGCCGTGCGCGGTAAATCTACCTTGTACTAGGAAAACTATCTTAATTAAGCTAAGCGATGAGGAGGCCGATACTTACCTGCTTCTTAAGCCTACGCTCCCTAATATCCGTAAATATAAAGCTCTCGCCGTGGACCCCGATACGGAGGAGGCCACGGCTACCCCGTCTTCTACTATCACGGCTACTCCGTCTTCTACTATTAGACTAAAGGGCGATAAGATTATGGACGCCACGGACGCCGTAGCTATAGCTATTATAGCCGGTGCTATAACGGCCACGGTCGGCGGTAAAAGGAAGACGGCCGCTTACTAGAAGGTTATAGCCGTAACGAAAAAACCACTGATAAGGACGCTTATATCTATTAACGACCTTTTTAAAAAGGGGCGTATACGCTACCTATAAGATTACCGCGTATACTGTAAGGAAAAGGCAGACTATAACGCGTAGTAAAAAGAGTTTAGTAAGGTACGCTTATATATTAAAAGGACTATCTATACTATATTATATAACCTCCTTATATAATTATAGGATAATAACGTAAATAACCTATAAGCTTAGATTACCCTCCTATATGCGTATATAGGACTAACCCCTATAAACCTTTATAAGGAAGCCCTAATCATATACCGATAATATACTACGTCTATAAAGGCTATACCTAAGGATATAAACGGGTAGGTTATAAGCTAGAAAACAGGGATAATATACTATAAATATATAGGCGTTTTAGAGCTATTAAGCGCGGACTATTAGGTAGAAGACACGTTAAAAGCTATTAGACCTATCGCCTAGGAATAAAGTAATAACTACTTAGTAAATAACTACGATAAGATTACAGAAAATAAGCTAATAACTAACGACTTTATAAAGGCTTTATAGGCGGTTTTTAGTAATATAAAAAGCCTATAATCCACTACTATACAGCCCAGAGTTAGGAGAGGCACCTTTAATACCCTTAGGAACCTCCCTAATATTAAGGATATTACTAATAATAAAGATAATAAAAAGCGTCCTTATAGTAATATATCCGTAAAGGCTATCCCTCCTATAATAAGGAGGCCTTATAAGATATATAAGAACCCCTATACTACCGCCGCCTATTAGTATATAAGGCCGGATATACGCCCTTATATCTAGCGCGGCCGCGAAAATATTACGAAGGTTATAGGAAAAAAGATACGTAACTATAGTTTTAAAAGCCGTGTGGATACCACGATATAGAAAAGGCGGGAAGCCTTAGGGGCTATTACCGCTAATAAGATAGAGGAAGTCTAGGAAGATTAACTCTATAATACTACGCCTATTATAACTACTATACTGCACTAATAGAATCGGGGGGTTACTACTATATCCGTAAGTATAGTTTTAAAAGACCTTTCCGTCACCGCGAGTATATAGCTAGGCGTCCACCCCTCCTAAGATAAGGGGGTAGCGCGCCCTTATACGATAATACTATTAAGATTATAATAAGAATAGGGGGTATCCCTTTCTATTAACTAAGCTAGAGCGCTATTATACTATACGATCCTAGACTTAGGATCGTTACTCTATATCTTTAGTAATTAAGGCCGTTTTACGGCTATTAGACCACCTACGGATACTTTATTATCCCTTTAAGTGGGTACTTATAAGGCTTCTATCCTCGGATACGGAGACCTTAAGCTACGTGTATAATCCATATTAGGCACGAAGAGGCTATTACGCCTCTATAACGTTATATACTATAAGGAATTCGTCACTAATATAGTCTTGGAATACTAGCTATATCTATAAGGTTACTGCTAGAATACCGTAAACGATACTATTATTAGCTTCGCCGATAACCGGCCTATCTATAAGCTACTAGATATCCCCGGCTAGTATATAATCGAGCGCGCGGAAGCCACGGCCACTACCGCGTTGATAGTCTCGGTAAGGCACCCCCGCGATACCCCGTACAGAAGATCACGATAACCGCGGTACCCGTAAAAGACCATAGTATAACGGTAGTATAAACGCCTTAGCCACTACGGTACCGATACTCTCGTAAAGATTCTTAACGCTACTTAGGGGGTAAAGATAAAGGGACCTCGTATAACGGACTGTAACACGTATAGGTAATCGTAAGTACCTATATAGATCCGGCGGATACTATCCCTTTACCCGTTAAAGCCCGGAGAGGCCTCAGCTATTGATGTTTATAATCTAGTAGAGTCGGAATCGCTAGGCGGCCTGTATAAGTCTATTATATTTATTATAGACGTGTATACAGGTTATATATAGAATTACTACTTATAGAAGAGAGGCTAAGGCTCTATCCTATACGCGTTAAAAGACGTTTTTACCCTGCTTAAGACCTAATTCGACGTTAGGCTATACGTTCTACGGGCCAATTCTAAGATATTTTAGCACCTAGAAGTCGTTACTTTCTTTACTACTAAGGGGGTAGAAGGCTAGCCGTCGGCACTATACTTATAGGATTAAAACGGCGTTATAGAACGGATTAGAGGTATCGTTAAGAGAAGGGCGAGGGCTATACGGATTAGAGCTAATCTGCCTATATGTATCTAGCCTAAGATTTTTAAGATTACTATATATATATATAATAGGACGCCACGATATATTAACGACTAGCGAACGCTTTACGAAGGCCTACGCGGCCGTTAACCTAACCTTACGCACCTATAAGCTTACGGCTATAAAGCCTTTATAAAAACGCGCGATACCTAAGCTACAAAGAACCGCCTATAAAGGCTAGAACTAAAGGTATAAATCGGGTATTATATCGGATACTAATTCTTAAATAGCTTCCGTATATAGCTACTAGACCTAACGGATATTATTACTATAAGATACATAGTCTTTAACGAAGATAAGATATGTAATAGTAGGATTAAAACGCTATAAGCTATAGCTTCCGCTAAGGAAATCGGGGAATGCCTATAATCTATCCATATTACCTAATCTAATGAGACCGCGAATAGGCTATTATTAAGTGGTATAGCCGCAGACGTATTAGATTTTAAATCGGAAGACTCTAATGCCACCGCTATTACTACGGATAAAGGCGAGGCCGTCGCTATTACTACGAGAGAGGCTACTACTATTACTATAGACTATAGTACTACTCCTTATAAGGTTCTTAATCTATAGCCTAATACCTAGGCTATAGATTCAGGACCTCGTAACTCTAACGCTACCGCTATTACTACGGGAGAGGCTACCGCTATTACTACGGATACTTCACGGTTCACCACTACGAGGTTTAAACCGTTTCCCATGCCTTTAATATCCCCGGAAGATCCTGCGTGCGCGTTCCTTATAGCGCTAGCGGTAGTTAGGGGCGCTAAGGTGGAAAAACACGATAACTACTAACGGATAGCTATAAATACCCCTAAGGGGTGCCCGTCGGCTATATACCTATCGG